AATGTAAAATACGATAATGCATTCCACACTGGAAAAAATACTCAAATATTTTATGTATAACATTTATTCAAAGAAAATTATATAATATACATTGTTAAGGAGCGTGAATCATATTCATCTTTTTTTCTAGCGCAGAATGAATCAACCTGGAATGCAAATTTGATTTGTAGAAAACAAAAAAAAACTCACAGATAATATGTCTGATAAACATGCCAAACGATATGCCAAATTCTTGGGCTATGCAGGATATAATTAAATATTAGAAATTAATTAATTTGACTAGAGGTAGGCAGTTATGCTGTCATCTTGTATTAAATTTAATGACCAATTCCAAATTAAATTTTAGAAATGTCTAAATTGAAAATTAATTATTTATAATTAGTAAATTTAATACAAGATGACAGCATAACTAGCTACCTCTAGTCAAATTAATTAATTATAGCCTTTACATAGCCCATGAATTTGACATACCATTTGCTGAGTTTATTATATAATGGGCTATGGTTGATGTTTATATGTAATATGTGTGAACACAAGTTTGGAAAAATGTGTGATCACAAGCGATACTAAGATGCTAGCAGTATGAGTGCTAAACACAGACTGATGTAGCATGCCTACAATCTGGGACTTCCCTTCTCTTCATCACTCATTATGCGAAACATTGCTCATTAAGCGAGTCATTTTTTTACAATTTGTTTTACTTGTTATGCAACGTTCCACTGTATAGTCATTAGTATATTGTTAGGTACCTAATAAACTAATGGTAAAAGTTGTAGGAAATGACAAACAAGTATTGTAATCCCCTTAAAAGTTTACAAACTTATAATAATCCCCAGTGTGGGGATGTACCACCTTATTGAAACATCACCATGGCTGAAACTCTTCCAACTGGTATTACAGAAAGCTCCATTGAAAGTTTATGATTGTGGACTCAGTAAAAAAAAAAAAAGTCCAATAATACTGTTATGCAAGCATCCATACCAAACATTAACTTTTGGATTCCCATATTTTCTTTTAAATTAATATGCTCTTAATCCCTCAAATAAGACTTTACCTTTCACATCTCAGAAAAGGTAAATAGACAAAGTCTTATTTGGGGCTATATCTTCAAGAAACCAACATATTTCAAGTAATCTTTGTTTGCATCTAAACATTGCAAGATATTAGTTACAAAAGCAGCACAGCAAGAGTAATAATTTTGCTTTTAACAAAATGAATTATCATGATAATTTTAAGCTATGTTAATAATTAGTTCAAAATACATTGATACTCTAGTCAAATTAATTAATAACTAATTGTTAATGTAGCCTTAAAATTGCCTAGTAATTCAGATTGTTTGGTTTTAATCAATCAATTTGAGTTTTGAGATGTTATTATATATAGATTATTTTGCTATAAAACTTGTACAATTTATACTTTGTACTCAAGCAAGTGAGTTTATTTCAGGTCCTGACTACCATTTTTTGGTACATGGTGGTCTACTGTGTTGCAAATGATGGTAGCTCTAACCTTTCCAGCAAATAATGTTATCTTAAACTTTTATGTTCTTGGCAAATAGATAAACTACAGGAATGAATTTCAGCAGGAAGAACTTTTTTGATCTAAAAAGTAATAATTGCTTAGAGTTCTTTATGAGACCATTTTTATAACCTGTTATCATTTGGAAATACTACATCACAATTACTAATTAAAAGTTAAGACAACTGTCTATTGGCATTAATGAACTTTAATAATTAAAAAACAAAAATTACTTAAGCACTTTCAACATTTACAGAATGTTTCCTTCAGGTGAATAGAAAAGGAATTTTAGAACATTGATTGTATATATTAAATTTAATGTTAGGATGTTCTAATTGGAACATACATATTAAATTTGAATAGTACATTATTAATTACACATCAAATCTAAGGTAAAAACAAAAATGGAATAGTGGTTGATAATTAAATTTTTTGCTGTAGTTAACAAATAACACAAAATTGTTAAAAAAATATTTATGGTCAGGAGTTAGTTTTTAAACCATTGAATAGCAAAACCCAAGTTCTTGGGCATTCCAATCCAATCCAAATTACACTTTATTTGTAATACGGCAATTGCCTGTTACGATGGGAGATACATTTACTTGTATATTGTGACATAGTACATATTACATAATATTTTCCTTCTAATTGTTTACAAAAGTTTTAACATAATTATATAGATTAACTATAAGTTCTTGGGCATTCTAGAGTGGGCATATTACAAAACTCCAATTTCTTAATAAACAATACCTCTTAAATAAAAAAGATATTGTCATTCACCCATTACACAAGGAAGGCTCATTCCAAGGGCACAAAGCTATGACAAATATTCTCCTAGATAGTTCCATGGAATTTCTTTTATTATGAATGTAATTCCGTTGCTCTGTTATGCAGCTTTGTAATTTTCTTGTTGTGGCCCTGATATAAACTATCTTTGCATCACTGTTTTGGTGTTATAAGAGAACTAAGTAAATGCCTGATTCAGAAAAAAACTAGATAAACTGTCTCTATCGTTACGTAGTATTCTGCATAAGGGCAAATATGGTTTTATTGGAAAGTTAAATTATAATTTTCAAAACTGATGATGCTTAAGGACACAGGCCCAAGATATCCGATAGATGAGCTTATAAAACTGAGATCCCCTTTCTTTGCTTCTACTGCTTCTACTGTTGTAGGTGGGAAGAGTGACTTATGCTCATGGGTGTTTATTTGAATTTTGCATGAGTATGTCCTACATTATATATGGCTGAAGCAATAAACTATAATTCTTTGTGTATTACATATTGTGAGGATGGCAATGTGTAGGCCCTATGAATAAGTGCAGCTATGGTGTTCTTGTCCAGTTAATTGGAAAAAAATAGCAGGTATGATGTGAAGATATAGACCGAACTTGTGTTGGATGTATACTGAAACAAATGTCCTTACAATTTTTGCATTAAAAGATCTAAGAAATTGATGCTGCTGTCTTTTTCTCTTTCTATAGTAATATTGATTGACGTGTATATCAGTGATAATTGTTGTACATTTTATGAAAGCTTGACATCAATTCCATCCCAAGCCAATAATACCATATTTACTTGCTTATGAGACAATCTCATATATAGGACAAAGAGTGACTTTAAAGATCAAAATAAAGAAAATTAGATTTATTAATATAATTCTATTTTTATTTCATTTAATCACAAATAAAATTTCAAATGCATGTAAATGCACACATTGCCCTGCAAAAATTACTGGTATTTTAAACTTTAAGGAAAAATCTTGTAAAATTGACATAATTTGTTCATATAAAGTTGGACAATTGGGAACCTTTTTTGCTAATTCTTAACAGTTGAATCCACTCTCCATCGATTACATTTATGAGTTTCTCTGAATTCTGATTTCCAAATAATAATCCATTTTCACATGGGAATGGATTAAAACTTATATCAGGCTCCCGTGTGATTTTGGAATTTTAAATTGGAATTCAATTCAAAAGTTTTGCTTTTCCTATTGCTATTCATCTTTACTCCTGACAATACACAAGAATGATTGAAACGACCCAAATAAAATACTTTTGATTTTAAACACCAGAGGGTGAGCATTCGGTAAAAAATGCAAACACACGGCAGAAAAATTTTTGTAAAAATGCAATTAATCCTTCGCTTGTGCGTATAGGACGACCTAGGCTTTGAAGCAACGAAAAATGAAAAACCTTGTTTTATATGCGATATCAAATATATAACAGTGGATACCAGATTATGAGAGGAGAAGAAAAAATTCTAAATTTAAACTTCAATATATCTCATTAACTCAGCTAAGACTGTTGAAAGAGAACCCATTGGTATGCCTTTTTTCTGAAGTTAAATTTGGTTGTTGAAGCAAAAATAATTGTTATCTGTTATTAGGAATAGAGATTCATGTATTTCTAAAACCTGTTGCTTAGACAAACTTTGATTAAATAGTAGCATATTTGCTGACATTACTGCCTCAAAATAGGGTACAGACAGATAGAGGAACACAACATCAATCTTATAAAAATAATATGAGTGGTCAGTAAAGCACCCAGTATTTTGGTGATTATTCTTTTTGCCTCCATGGCTAATAAAACAACTAATTCAGAGTGGGGATTAGGGAGTTTAGAAATAACATGATCTTAACTTTTATATAGTACTAGCAGATAAGCTTGGTGTTGCTTGGGCAAAAAGTAATTATAGCGAAGATTAAGATTATTACATTACAGCAATCTTACCCGTTTTCACAGAATGCAAGAATTAGGTTCTCCTGTTTCCAGACTAATTAGAAAATTTTTTGATGGGTCTAAAATTATGTTCGATTTAATGCAAAAAACTGCATCTACACCTGTAAATCTTGCATGTTGCTTTCTCTTAACACTTCCATTGTTGAAGCCTTAATCCTGTCTCTTTCCCTGCAGGGAGATTTTGAAAAATCCCTTGTTAGTGTGTGTTCTCGTGATGTACCCTAACTGTGTACCAAATTTAAGTTTCAACTCCTAACCGTGCTGAAATGCTTATGATGAAATGCTCATATACATGCATGCCATCTATTGTAGGATAAATGTACTATGCCAGAAACCTTCACGGAAACAACTTCCCAAAGTTTCATGGCAATCAGATAAATGGTGTAGTAATGCATGAAGGACACACAGACAGACATACATTTGTTTTTATATATATAGAAGAATTATTTGGTGTAAGAAGTTAATTATTTTTCTTTCGTGCATCATTGTTCATTGTTGCCAATCTGGGTATTATACCTACCTACATTGAAGTTACACTCAACAGTTGTTTAGTATTTAAACTGTGGTCTTTTGATCACTCCACATATATTAGTTTACTACAAATTATATGATAAAAATCTTTTTGAGTTTGCTAAGTAAAGTATTTACTTTAATTTAGTCTTATAATTTAGTAACAAAATAAATGAATATTTGATTAGTTATATTTTATAATATATGTTAACATATTTAAAATTTATTTCAGAATGCTGGCGATTTTAAGAGACCAGCTGCAATTCTTCAGAAGTTTTGGAAACCAGGAAATGGATTTTTTCATGCATTAATAGCATCATTTTCAGTAATTATTGTTTCTGAACTTGGAGATAAAACATTTTTTATTGCAGCTATCATGGCAATGAGATATTCGAGAGTTACTGTTTTGCTTGGTGCAATGTCTGCTCTTACCATAATGACCATATTATCAGGTATGATTGATTTTCAAAAAATACTGTTGGAAGTTTCATTTAGTATAGTGTAATTGAACTGATTTTTTGAGACATATAATTAAATCTTTTTAATATTTATTAAAATGTCTAAAAATCCATCTATATACTACTAATAGTGTGTTTAGTTGTAATTAAATACAGGAGAAAACATTACAAGATACATACAGTACTTTCACATTTTTAAGACTCCTATACCCAAATGAGAATAGAAACAAAATAAAATAAGTTTTGTTAAAATCAGAGGATGGATTACAAAGTTATCGAAGTTTTTTTTTTTTTTTGCTGGTGACATCATTCTGTATTAAAGAAAAAGAATTATTATTATTTTTGAAATTTGAATTCAGTTCAAATGTAGAATGCTATAGAACAAGCATTCTAAATGGAACACGCATAACTGACCTGAAGCAGGACAGTCAAGCTGTTCAAAAACATTTATTATTTTTAAAGCAATATTGGAATTAAGCAAAGGTTATCAATGTGATTAATAATCATTCTATATGATGTCCCTTTTTAAAACTTGCTGATTATGTTCTTTTTAAATTTACATCACTTTGCTGAAGGAGAGAGTTCTCATAAATCACTTTTTAATTCTATGTTTGAAAATTTACACAGAAACATTTGATTTAAATATTTATGTCACTCGATCAGTGGAATGTTTCCTTAGAACACACTTTTTGCTTTTAATTTATTTTGTGTTTGATGGAAGGGCTGTACTACCAGACAAAAGCATCTAAATGGGGCTGAAAACATTTGTCTGATTAATGAATCTAGTGCTGGAGTAGGTATTAAGGATTTTGTGTGAGTTAAAGATAGATAATGTGAGTTGTAATTATTTCAAATTTATTTATATATATAAAATAGAATGACCACCTATCTGTCCTCTATACTCTTCTAAACCCTTCCTGTATATACACCTGTATTTTACCAACCTTCTTTTGGAAAAAATACAAATCGAATGACTGTTGCATTCAAATAGAATAAATTCTGGAATAATTTAGAAAAAATTCTAGAATAAATATGCAGAGGCATTATGAATCAATAAATTGCTGCTATTATCTATTATGGTATCTTTTATTTTTTATAAATTTTAAGTGAGTGATCCAATGGGTCACAGGTCTACTATATAATAAAAATTAGCAAAATCTGGGAATAGAAAGAAAGTTATTCCCTTCTCTTGTGTCATTAAAATAATAAATAAAATTAAAATTATTTTTAAATGTAATAAAATGTAATTAAAATTTTTGAAATTGTTATGAACTAAAACTATGCCAATAATTTATATGACCTTCATAAATAATTTATAAAAAAATTTTAAATGATGCAGTTTTACACATGAAAAGGACAAGCTTATACTATTCTTTAAAAATATGTTAATTGTAAAAACATTGCTGAATGAAATTGTTAGTCTCTGTCAGTGACTAGAAGTGTGAAAACAAAAATCAGCCATATATCAGTAATTGACCAGTTTAATAACAAGAACAGTATTACATTCTTTTATATTTATTTACTTTGCAATTTATTGAATTTTAATTTTTTTGGCAATAACTTTTTTATTTTATAATTTTTCTTTAAGTTTTTAGTTATGTTTATTCTATAGTTTAGAATAGTGTTGTTTAATCTCTTTAACTTGAATAAGAAACAGATTTTTTATTATTCAATAATTTAACTTATCATCTATTAAAGAAAGTAAAAATCGTTATGATCTAATATATAAATTCAAAGCAATGAATTTTGTAAGCTGCTTTAAACAGGTAACTTAAGGTTCTAGAACAGAATTCAGCAAAAGTTACATAGCAGAACAAAAATTTCACAAAAAAAAATGAAACATGACAATAATAATAATGCATTAATTAAAATTCAAATACAGTCAGTCCTCATTATTTGCAGGGATGATGATCATGGGGAAATTCCAGTTATGGCAATCTTGGCTACTGAAGCATGATCCTATGGAAAAAAATGCAGTTATGTTCCTGTCAATTTTCTTCACTATCCATAATAATAATATTTCATCATTTAATGCATTGTTTTTGCAAAGAACACTTTTCATATTAACATACATATTTTATAAAGTTATTTTTATTTAACAAAAACACTTATTTAACAAAAATTCATAATGTCCAAGTTGTGAGTGGATCACAACTTGAACATTATGATTACATCTGTGGGTGGATTTATGATTCAGCCACAGAGTTAATTTTAATCGTTTTAGTATTAAAATTGCAATAGCTTTCTTAAAAATTTGCACTAAAATCAAACTGCTTTTTTTTTAATTGAAAGTTTACTATTGTATATTTAAATATGATAAAGATGATTATATTTTTCATACAAATTCTTGTTAAATCACATATGTTTGCACTTTGCTTCACTGCCATTGTTGAAAATACAAAAAAAAAACAAGACTACAGCTCTCCGTGGTGGACACATTTCTGAGAGGTATTGCATTGTGTAATATCTCTCAGAAGAAATATTCTGAAAAGTATTGTGCTCTGCAATACTTGTCAGAATTTTTTGCATCTGCTCATGCCTGCATATAACTTATGTGAATGAGACCATGTGATGCAAAACAGGTTACACTTTATAACCACAGATAAGTGAATCTGCAGGTTCAAAATACTGATTCAATGATTAAATAAGTACTGTAGAATGAGATACTATACTACAATCTGTTTTAGTAAACCATATATTGAAAATTGCCCTTACAGTGTTATGATTCTTTTTCTGTTACAGTTGACAGATTAATTGATGCTTTATAAAGTCTTGGTGTTTTATGAAATTTTATATTTGTCTTTTAGTTTCTTATCTCTTTGTATATTAGAGAAAGGATATTCTACTTCTTAGTACTGTCTGTTCCATTCTATAACAAGTATCCATGTTATAGTGTAATGCTATATCTCATTCTACAATTACTTACTTAATCATTGAATAGTACAGTACACTCCTGTATAACATGAATTTGTATAACATAACAAAAATTTTGTGACTAGAATTCATACAGTGCAATTAATAGTCCTTTATAACACATAAGATAAAATTTATGTTTTCACATAGTTTCAGATTTTTTTGTTTAGAAAAGCAAAAATATACTGTAAGGTCTTGTTTTATGCAGTGGATACATTCTACAGAAAAGCGCATATAAAAAATTCGCATAAAAAAAAGACTTTACTTGCCTTGAAAAAGTAGGGATATGTTTCGTAATTTTCTAAAATCGCATAAAACCAAAACAATGAGTTAAAATTAACTTAAAACCGCATAAAAAAGTTTGCAGAAATTAAAAGAAATAGGCTGCTTAATAAATTACTTCGAATGTCTGAAAGAAATTCATATAAAATTTAATTTCAAAACAATTACAGTTTATACCTTTCAATGCGAAACTCAGAATGATGTAATAGCGACTTGTCGATAGTATCATGTACAAGGGGAATCCCCGAATTGCAAAAGCTCACTCTAAAAACAAATCACTGACATCTGGATGTGAAGAGTTAATTAAAACCCCTTTAGTTCCTCGCCCGAGTTAACTCGGGCAGGTTACATAGCGTTACATAAAACACGGTCCTTAAAGCCATTTTTGAAATTTTTTTTTGAATTTTTGGAATGTTTTTTAAGTCTCCAAATTTTTTAAAAATATTTAAAAATATACGGCCAGCTAGTGTTCACCCTACTTTAAACCCTTGTCCTCCCGCGACATCTATGAGAATGCCCCGGGAAATCCAACTCCAGCTGTGTTCAAGGTCATCCAGATGTGTAAACAATGACTCATTGGTGTTAAATTTCACAGAAGGGCGAGACAAAGGAAGTTAAACTTTGAAGCTTTTTCTTCAAAATTAATGCATTTCTTTCTTTTTTTTTCAGTTTTAAGTATTTTTTATGTTTATTTACATTTATATCAAAAATTGCTAGGAACTTAAGTGATTAAGGTAGGTCTAGCTGTCCTTTACATCCATAAGTGTTTTGTCAGTGGAACAAATGAAGTGAGCTTTGAGCGTTCCACGATTTTTGGAGACTGTCTATATGCAGGCTTCCTAAACAAGCCTATATGTATGTTTGTCCAAGAAATTTTTGGATGAAATACAAACCGAACAACTTCAAAATCGCATAAAAATAATCTGCATAAAAAGAGACCTTACAGTATACTTACCAGTTTATATATGAACAGTAAAGCCAACAGTTTAAAAAAATAATTTTTTTGTTGTAAATAATCAAATTTATCAATGTTATAGACTTGTTCTGCTATATAATTGCCTTCCTCTATAATTTTGGAAAAATGTTTGGGAAATCTTTGTCCCTTTGCGAAAACAGTTAAAATTTAGAGACATTTGAATTTCTATAAATTGGTCGATAAAGTATGTTCCCTATAATGTGATTTCCTACAATGCAGAATGCATCCCCCACATTATATGGGTGCCTACTATATTTGAATGAAAAATTAATTACTGCTGGCGTTGTATTAATAATAATAATAATAAGTCATGGACCCAAAAAGCACTTCATAGCATGCATGCCTATGACCTAGCTCAGGACAATATTGACATAACTATGTCAAACCAGTCTGTTTGGAGAGACTGAGGGTTTTATAGTTGCCGTTTAACCTTTCAGTAGTGGGTTAGTCAGGTATGGTTCTATCCCTATGTAGTGGAGAATAAACGTGTGAAATTTTTCAAGTATTTTCCCACACGTTTTTTTCTCACTACTGTTTTGGAAAAAGATTTTGTAAACAATTATGTCTAGTAAAGAAAAGTCTTCTTTTATTGTTACATAATTCCTTTTTTATGTGAATTTTTTTTTTTTGCAGTAGTTTTTGGTGATATCCATTGTTCACCAGTGCCACATGATTGCCCTTGACGGATATATCCATCGGTCACTGCTGAGTGGTTAAGATCAGGTCATAAACACTAAAAACTACAGAAAACATATCCTGAAGGATACCTCACTCTGGCAGAATGACTCTTGCAGAAAATGCCACGTTCTGCTAGTAACAATACAACATATAACCTCTGATTGCAAGCTCTTAGCACAAACAGACTATTACATAGGCTTAATCAAGTAGCAAATATAATACATCAAGAGTGTGCACAGAAGCAGATTATTAAACATTCAGGTATCATACTACAAATATACTCCATAGGCAGTATTAGAAAATGACACACACAAATTATACTACAACAGAGCCATAATTACAGATAAAACAATTCATCACAATAAACCTGACATCACTCTCATTGACAAATTCAACAAGATCGCTTGTATAATAGACATCTCCATTCCAAATGCTCATAACATAAAAAATGCAAATACACTCCACTTGCTCAAGAAATAAAGACAGATGTGGAGGACAGATAAGATATTTATTGTACCTGTTGTCCTCTCTTCCACTGGTGTTATACTACATACACTACACAAAAGTCTAAAACATTAAACCTTAATAAAAACATATACATTGCACTACAGAAAGCTGCAGTATTGAACACATGTCACATTGTTAGGAAGTTTCTAGATGTTGACACATACCAATAACACAGCTTAATGTTACACTTGTTTTGGTAGCTATGCCTTGACTTTAGTCCAGCATAGCACTTGGCATCAGTATCAGCTAAGCATGATATTTGCAACATAATAATAATAATATCATTGACTATCAACAATTTAATTAAAAGAATGAGTATTTGCATATTTAAGCTTATAATCTTTTAAATGCAAATAATGAAGAGTGAAAAGATTACTTCATTAAGGACAATTCTTTAATTTGAAATTATATTAACCTCTATGGGGAGAAATGAAGAAGAGTGGTTCACAAGCAGCATCTGACCCAGACAGGGTGGCTGCTAATCAGCATCTGTTCTCCATGTTAGGGAGACTGTTTTATTTACATCTGCTTTAGATACATAAGCATTTCTGTAGAGAAAACATAGTTGTACACATTGTTAGTACAATAAGAGTTCACACCCAGATTAACAAAATCCACATTTATGGATTAGGTAGGGATTCATGTTTCAAAAATTTGCCACAGTTATTATATACTAAAATTTTATTACCAGCATAAAATTTTTAATATTAACTAGTACTTTTGGTCTAATTTAGACTACCAGATTCTCTATAATTGTATTCTATTTTAATAATAGAGAACATGATGGTCTAAATTAGACCAAGAGTACTAGTTAATATTAAAATTTTTATGCTGGTAATAATGTGTGTAATGTTTAAATATTTGAAATTTGTTGATTTCTTTGATTCCTTATGTTGATCATGAAAAAATGTTAGCAGTTGTTTATTCCTTACACATTAATTTTATTATTGCAACTGAGATGGAATTCAATTACATATATATGTACACACTTATATAATTAATCATGAGTCTTGCTGAGAAAGATTTTCAAATCCATTTGATGAACAAAGCGATAATAAATACAAATACATCGCACTAACCTTGTATAGCTTTGCAGTTAATTTTAGAAACGTAACACTGATATTTTCAATCTACCCTAGGACCTTCTTCAAGTGTTCTATAAAAATTTTTCTGGTGCAGTCCAAGTTTGATTTAGCTTCTGATTTTAAACACTCCAAATGTTTCTATTTTTAAAACAAAAGATTTTCATTTTACTATAAAAACAATTTATTCAAAGTAATGAAAAATGTGTCAGATTTTTAATGAACATTACTTAAGATAATAGATGAGATGAAAGTAACTATTCTATTATCTTAGTTAGTACTGTATTTCATTAGAACTAAAGAAAAGTAGCAAGATTAATTAGATGAATTATTTTAAAATAAGAGCCATACTACTTGATAATGGCTTTGCATGATACAACTGGGATCTTATTATTCAAATCTCCATTTAATAAAAGAAATGTTTGTTAAATATGTAAACCGAAAAATTTTGTTCTTACTTGAATGAATATTAACGAATTTCATAATTGTGTTATCTATTGTTATCATAGAAAATAAATTAAGAAAAAATTATTACTCTTAACATTTTCATTGATTACTTTTATGTAAGTTGGTTGTTTTGATACATTTTTTATTTTTGCTTAATATTAATAAATTTCATGATAAAATGATAATGTTATTTTTGTAGCTTGTCTTGGTTTTGCAATAACAGTTATTCCAAGAATGTATACCCATTATATATCTACTGTACTTTTTGTAATTTTTGGCTTAAAAATGCTGAAAGAAGGTAATGTTTTAACATTAAATATATTTAAATATTACAATAATATAAGAAATTAGTTTTGAAAATTTTTTTACAAGAGAATTTTAATTTCATTTTAGGATATGATATGTCTCCAAATGAAGGACAAGAAGAATATGAAGAAGTTCAAAAAAGTGTTAGTAAGCAAGAAAATGAGGTAAAGTTTGATTATTTTTTAGTTTGTATTTAAAAATGTACATATAATATGTTTTGGAAATGTTTTGTTTAACCTAATTTATTAGTTATCTTTAAAATAATTAATTTTTAAAATAGTAGTGATGTGTAAATTAATAATGACACCTTTAAACACTTTTCCAGAACAGTTTTTTCTCTTATCAAACAAAATCTGTCTTTCTTTATAAGCCTACTGCAGATGTTTAGATGAGCATGGAGTCCTTCAATGAGCACTACTTTAAAAGTTTAGAAACACTGGAGACTTATAAAGCCTGTTTAAAAGAAATTTGCATTAATTACAATGATTATGAATCCATAAATCAGCTGCCTGGAAATCATTTCATGAGAACCTGAAAAGGAAAATTTAACAAGGTACCCACAACCTATAAATTTGCATAGAAGATGATACAAATATTATATCAAAGTTGGAGCCATTGCATAAGTCATGGGGTTTGAGAATACCCTGTTCCATGAAGCCTGATCATTCCATATTTTAAAATTTATTGGACATATGTCATTGCACCTGTTAACATTCTAATTTAAAATGCTGAAGTTTCAAATTTTTGACTCTAGGCTTGTAAAGAAAGCCAAAAAGTTTGTTGAAAGAAAAACTGTGCTAGAAAAGTGTAAAGGTATGGTTATTTGTTAATTTCACTCACTTCTGGCTTTGATACTTTTAAATGTGTCAAATAGTGCATAAGGAATTTAGAATAAGAAATTGTATAATATTTAATAAATTTGTCTTATTAATTTGAATATAGGCTGCACTTTTTCCAAATTCAGTAAATTTAAAATATAATAATCAGGGATTTAGCTCAAAAACTTCTGAGTGTAGATCATCTGCATGACTCATGGCTTTCATAGACTTAAGTGAGTAAAAGTATCATAAAAATGCAATACTTTGTTATCAATGACTATTATATCAATACATTGTGAATATGACATACCAATATGTCATATGCAAACCATTAATACACATGACAATGCCCAATATAAAAAAGTATTACATTTTATTTTTCCTTATCTTGTGGCTGTTCACATAGTCTAGTATATGAGTCTGATGTGCTTGTTTTTCTGCTTTATTCTGGGATCAACTGATAGTGCTATTTTTTTTTTTTTTGTAGTGTGTTTATTTTTAAACTCTTTGAAAAGCATTCAGGGATATAACCACACTGGGTAGAAACACCACTCAGCATGGTTACATCCCTGAAAATTCAGTCAGTTATGAACTTACATGTCATAAAATTGGCATGTTTATTCTCTGTTCAAATGAGTTGAGTTTTTTAATGAGTTGTAAGTCTTATCTTTTTTGAAAGTAAAACCTCAATATTATTTAGAAGACTGACATGATTTATAGCTTATGATTATACTAAAATTTACATATTATAGTTACATAATTTGGAAATATTTGTTGCACACATCATCTTAAAAGTTGTATTTTTAATTTTATTGCTTGTTTTTTTAGTAACCAATGATTTAGCACTTTTTCTTAAAGCCTGAGACAGGTTTAATAGTTTCATGTAAAAATATTATATTTACTTTTTATTAAAAACTTTGAATGAATATTTTAATTATTTGTAGAAATATCAGTTTATTCAAAATACCATAACATATGTTTATATTAATAGTTCAGTTTTATTTTATAGAAGATTGTTTTAAAAATTGTTTAGAAGTATTTAATAATGTAATTAAATTAGTTTAAAATAATTTTAATTTATTTCAATAACATTAAGTCAAATAAATATTAAAATAAATAACATAACAGTAGATAATATAGTAATTTTTGAATTAAAACTAATTCAAAAATTAGTTTTAATTCAAACAAAAAATGATTTTCACAAACAATTTTTAAGATCAAGTGCAGGTATTGATTTAGTCAGTTCTTCATTTAGTATAAATTTATCAACTATTTACTAACAATATTTTATTAATAGTATTAATTAATGATTGAAATAATTTGAATTATTTGATATTATAAACAATTTTGAAAAGTTATATGTAAAATTTTTTTATATAATATACAGTGAAATCTTGATCTATTGTTTCTGGAATATCATTCAACTTCTGTGGTCCCTGAACAAATCCTATTTAAACTATGGAAATTAAATCCACACCAGTTGTTTCTCAATGTACCATTTTTCCACAACTGTTGGATAGAATTTTTAGTCCTGAAGAATTTTAATTCCAGACTTTCTCCTCCTAGTAAGATTGGTTTGACCTCCAGTTGTAGAGCAATTCAAACTTCTGGTTTTAGTAGATCATTCTGCTGTACCCAGAAAATTGGGATTAAAGTTTAAGGATGCCCACTTCTTTAAATGGATGCAGTATGGAAATGTGCTAGTTTACATATTGAGGAGTGCATACAGTGATGCCAAGCTTGGCAACTTTGCACCAAGTTTGGCTCCTTTTTTTACTCTTTTGGTACCAAAATATATTTTCTACTTTTTCAAACAATCTTCAACAGAAAAAACTCATGGATTTCTTTTAGCTTTTACTGTTCCACACTTCAACAGCAAACACCATCTCCTCCTCATTTTGTTTGATTTGAAAATAATTTAGAGCATTAATTTGTTTACTAAATAAATTCTTAATTAATTTACTAAATAAATGAATTAATTTAATTTAAAAAACTGAATTAATTAATATTTTGAATTAATATACTAAATAAAATAAATTTTATTTAGTAAATTAATTCAAAATATTATAATTTAGTGATATTGATTATTTATTAAGTCTTAATTGCATAAATTTTAGTCTTGACCTTGATCTTGAAAACCATTAATATGAATTTTCAATAAAGTGAACTAACTATTATTTCCCTAGCAATTCGTATTAACACAAGTTGACTGTACTGATATTCAGATGAAGAGACACTGATCAAATAGTAATGAAGCATAATTGATTTTAGCCTTTGCACATAATTATTTAGAACATGATTTTTGGTGATATTACAGATTCATTTACTAACATAAACTTTTATTGCACCTGAAAGAAATTTGTAGGTTTTAGCAAGTCTTTTCTGTAAAATATGATGGAATGGATTCATAGGAAAGTATATACATAAAATGAAACATAAATTTCCTGAAAAAGTGGAGAGAAAAGATGAAATTCAACATAACCTGCACATATAGAATGCTGCCACACACAAATAAAAATTTTTCTTTTATTTATTAGATAAATTTCCCATTGATATTAATAGGAGTTTAGTATTGGAATAAATTATATATAGACATATTAAACAATTATAAAAATAATATATAGTTATAGAAATTATGAAATAATCAATAGCTTTAAATGAAAAGAACTGTTTTTTTAATTTATGTCATAATATATAGTGAGAGTAGTCTTGACAAAACAAACATCAACTACAAATCTCAGTTTAATTTTATAATCACTAAATTTAGACCAAAAAAAATGCAGCTTGTACTTATACTATTATAGTATATTTACCAAACTAATATTAAATAATTGATATTTTTCCTTAATTTAAAGACTTAATTTTATTAAATAATTTCTTATTACTATTTCCAACATATTGCATTGTGGATAATTTTATGATTTTCACATTTGTGTTTGAATGAATTTTTTAATAGATGTTCCTAATTTATAGTATGAGAATGATCCAACTGGAAGTGATATAGAAACTGGAATTGTGACTCCTACAAGAATAAAGACTTTTAAAAGAAAACTAATGGTATTTGTATCAAGAATTTATCTTGAATCCTTTACAATGACGTTTTTGGCTGAATGGGGTGACAGATCTCAGCTTACAACAATTATACTTGCAGCAAGAGAGGTAATTTATTATTTAAAATAAGATAAGATAAATAAAAAAACACTCTATGTAAATTTATGCTTGACATTGCTTTTTAAATGTTATTTTAGAAAAATTTGTTTATTCTTTTCACTTTATTATGTATATCCTTTCTTCCCTTTAATTTAAAAACTAGAAGTTCAAAATTATTTAAATATATATAGTACAATCTTTAATTTCAGAAAATATTTGAGAAATTAATATGTTTAAAAAACATACTGGTTTTTACTGTTAACCATTGATAATTACATAATGTTATATTATTTTATTTATATTGATATAATCTAGATATGATTTCATTTATTATCACTGTTTATTGTTAAATTATCAATAAGTTCCTATCTGTGGATATGATAAGATATCAGAATTAAATAAATAATCTATTTACAATACCAACTACATCCATTTTAAGTAAATTTACAAAATAGACCAATCCTTAAGAAAAGAGATATTTTTAATAGCATATACTTGTAAGTATGTGTACATATTACTTTCAATATGACTGTAGCCATAAATTTGGAAATCCAATACAGATAATATATTTATTATAAGGACTTCAAGTTTGGATGTGGTCAGTTTTGAAACAAACTTAGATGACTTGTTGACAACAATGCTTTGTTTTAAATATTTATTAGTTAGCATAACAATAACAACATACAAAAAATGAAATAAAAGTAAATAAAAGTACAAAACTCAATACAAAACATTGCATGATGAAGATTTCATTTAAATGATAGGTTTTGCTCTTACAGGGATTTTGCAAGTGTTAACTGCAGAAAATTCATACAACAGACTGATTATCATTTATTGCATTTTTGTAATATTTTAGGAAATCAATGTCTTGTCATTTTGATTCCTAATGCTTTTCAGAATCGTGTCTATAACTCTTTGCTTCTCTTCTTGTAACCTCTTACTTTGTGTCGCTGTCAAATGTATGTTTTCCCTTTTCATCAAACTCTTTGGAACTTCAATTTCTGTTTGGTATACTACTTTGTCTTTGATCAGAACTTCTTTCTTAATTTTGTTAAAATAAACCTTTTATTGGGAAGGAATTTAATGTCATTAAGCAAGATTTCATAACTTTATCAGGTGTTTTAAAATTGATAAAGATATCAAACACCCAGGGTTATTGAGTGGGAGGAGATGGGGATTCTTCCTTGGCCTGGAAAAACTTAGAGGCCCATAATAGTTGTAGAGCAATTCAAACTTCTGGTTTTAGTAGATCATTCTGCTGTACCCAGAAAATTGGGATTAAAGTTTAAGGATGCCCACTTCTTTAAATGGATGCAGTATGGAAATGTGCTAGTTTACATATTGAGGAGTGCATACAGTGATGCCAAGCTTGGCAACTTTGCACCAAGTTTGGCTCCTTTTTTTACTCTTTTGGTACCAAAATATATTTTCTACTTTTTCAAACAATCTTCAACAGAAAAAACTCATGGATTTCTTTTAGCTTTTACTGTTCCACACTTCAACAGCAAACACCATCTCCTCCTCATTNTATCAAGCAAAATATGTATATGTGTTGAGTGAATAAAATTATCAACTTGTTGATTTTTCTTCATGTACTGTACAGTGTTAATATTTTAAACATGAACACAATCATTTAATATTGCTTCAGCTTTAACACACTTTTAAATCATTATACTGTACTTTGAGAAAAACTAATAGTCACACAATTGATTTTAATGGGATATGACAATGCAACACATGTGCAATTTACCAAGAGCAATGCTTCCCCAGAAAGACCTTCTATGGAAAATTGGCCTCTACTTAGAGGTTAGACATGTGAAGAAACCCACTAAACTCCAATGGCTGCCTGTTAGTGAGGAGTGAATACTTGAATCGGTTAGTCCAGTGTTTGGTGATTTTATCCACATAGTCACCGGGTGGGCAATAGTCACATAAAGGTTGGATAGTTAGCCATCCAACCTTCATGTGACTATTAGCCATCAGCCTACTGCTCTGGAGAACACAAAATCAAATTCAGACAGATTGACAAATGCAAGGATTTTTTGGGGAGAGGTATGTTCTGGATATGTAAGACCTGCCTCTCACTACCCAGCCATCCCAGTGTAGACCTGACTGAATCCACTGTAGGCTTGATAAAAGACCCTGTTATTGCCCATAGAGAGGAGACAAAAATTTAAAAACTTTTATAAATAATTTACATTATATGACTAATGAAGTTTCAGAAACGTGTTAAAACACTGATTGCCAACTAATGACAAACAAAGACCATTAATTTTCTCTTCAAAGCTAAAAAAACTTAATCAAATTTATAGCAAGTTACCAACTTAATTATTGGTTGCAAAAATGGATACTGAAGTAGTCAAATATTGCAACCTTGATCTTTAGGAAGAAATGATGCTTAAGGCTATTGATGGTCAGGAATGAGGAAAATCACCTTAATGCTTTTTTAGGTCTTACACATTAGGTGTCATGTTGCTGAGGACTGACCTTTGTTGATCTTTTTTAAAATGAATTTGTATGATTTTTATAACTAGCCTATATTAAACTTTGTTTATTCACATTTAATTTGATATATAATAAGTATTTGTTTTTAAAGATTTGATTGTTCATAATATAAATATAATGTATACAACACATGCAAAAACCAATTTTTTTAGCCTTTATTTATAATTGTATCATTTGAAAAATGGGCACTTAATTCTAATTCAATAATTGTTTATTTTCATTCTATTTGGTGTTTTCTGTTCTTTGACAAAGATATATGAGGATATGTGCAACAAAATTTTAGTTTTGGTTTTGTTTATATGCCATTTTTATAAATGTGCAAATTTATGTACTATAAAAAAGTCCATTAATCCACAATAATTTGATGTTTATACTGTTTTANTCTATTTGGTGTTTTCTGTTCTTTGACAAAGATATATGAGGATATGTGCAACAAAATTTTAGTTTTGGTTTTGTTTATATGCCATTTTTATAAATGTGCAAATTTATGTACTATAAAAAAGTCCATTAATCCACAATAATTTGATGTTTATACTTATTTACTTATTTGTATTTACATTTTAAAAGAACACATCATTAAATTATTTAATAATGCAAATTTCTGGGGTTCCAGTTAACCCCGTCACGCGTTTTTGATGGTCATTTATTTTTTTGAAAGATTAAATGAATCTTTCAATCAGGATTCCTGACACAACTTAGTCAATTATGTAGGCTAAGATGCAAATGGATTTCTGTAGCTAACTTCTGGAATTTAGGAGGGAACACAGATAAGCTGAGGGAGTTTGTCAAAAGAAAATCTAGGAGAGTTTCTTTTTAATTAAATAAATTATAAATTTATTAACAAAAAATTAGAGAAGAGCAGAGAGCTGTTTAGGGGTGACCTGTCCCTTTTAAACAAAAACCTCCTCCAATTAGAATTGTCAAATAAACCCTCTTCCAACATGTGATGATGGATGTTGGGTAGTTCAGTGGATATGTCATGTAAAATCTCATGTTAAACTATCAGTTTTGAAGGAACTGTGCCATCTTTCTCCAACAGAAAGAAAGTTTTCATTTCCAACTTTGTACATTTTATAAAAAACAAGTAAAAATTTATCAAATAATTATAACAATATTTTGTTATATCTGTTAATAAAATTAAATTATTAACCTTGGATTTTCACAATAAAAGTAATAATTTCAACAACAAAAAAAGTGATGGGAAAACCTTTTGTTCTTAAAAAAATTCAATAAAAGTTGCAAAATTGTGATATTGATTTTAAAATTTTGTCAATAGATGAAGCTAGAAGTATGCTACTTACAAAAGGACATCACTGTAGGAAATGTAAGCAGACACATTTAAATGAAAAGTTACAAGAAATTACAAGTATATTTCCAGATCAGAGGTCATTCCCATATCTTGACCAGAAAATGTTAAATTTCCATAAAAAGGGTATTTGTCATTAGTTTCTTTATCGTCTTTTAACTGATAAGAGAGGGATGTCCAGCCACACTGCAGCCCACTTAATATTTTTATGTGGCCAACTGCTCTCTGAATTTTTTAAAGTACCTTTTCATTTATTTTGGTAAAGTATGTCATAAAAATTTTCGTTTCACTGGATATACTTTGATATCATAATGACATAATTAGTGCTAGAAAACTGTTTTATTTCAAAAACGGTACATTCCCACATGTATAACATACATTGTAAACAGTTCTTTTCGTTCATGAAAAAAATCAAAACGGCTGAAAGAAATAGCTTCCCATTTAACTAACATTCTTAGAATTAAGACTGGTACCATAAAAGCAGATATTAACAATATTATAAAAGAAAGGCAATGTCAAAAATCACATTAAATTTATTTTTATTTTGTGTGAGTATAATTTCTTTATTTATTATCAATAATACAGTATTTTTTGTATACTGTATTTTTTATATATATTCATTATTAAAATTTGATATACAAATTTTGAACTTTTTAAAAGCATATATTTAGATGAAGTACATTTGTGGCCTGCTGAATGTACCTAAATTTCTAATTTGATTCATAAGATCCTAGGTATCATATACATACAAAAATTTAGGGGATTTGTCTGATTCCATGTGAAAGTATTCAAGATACAGGAATGTCCAAATTTATAGGTTTTGCTGTACAATATCTTGAATGTAGCCATTATTGAAACAGTCTTGACAATAGATGTAACTGATTTTGTAAAATATCCATACATATAATCACATAATTAAGTTGGATCTATTCTGTTTTGGATAAATGTGATCTCACCACACAAAAGAACATATTTTTTAGCTTAATTTACCAGCATTAGTTGACTTTGGAGGAAATATGGATAAAGCCAGTATTGCAAATATACAATTTAAATATCAGAATAATAATACATGAAAAATAAATCTAACTACAGTGTATAATTTGAAAATGTTGTTTCATAAAACATACTAAAATAAATCCATGACTGTATGCAGTAATAGTGATTTTCCACACCTACTAGTTTTTTGTAGTAATCTTTC